GCCTCTGGTGTGAGTAAGCTTTGGTCAACCGTGAGGTCACTGTCCAATCCGAAAAAGCTCGACGACAGAGTCACAATGTCTTTCGGCGACCGCGCTACATCGGAGCCGGAGCTTCCTCTAGTGGACAAGGGCAAGCGTCGAGTGACCAGGAGGCTGCACAAACTGCCAACAACAAGTGCGCCTCTTGTTTTCACCAGCGGTGAAGTTCAGGTAGCCATAGGGAAGGCGAAAGCCTCCAAAGCCATGGGACCCGACGGAATATGCATGTTGATGCTGAAAAATTTGGGTCTTGCGGGAGTAGGGTATCTAACGGAGGTCCTCAATATGTCAATGGCCACTCTCGCCATTGGAGACATCTGGAAGATGGGGAGAGTGGTCCCACTGCTCAAACCGGGAAAACCAGCCAACAAAGGAGAATCTTATTGTCCGATAACACTCCTTTTCCCGGTAGCGAAGACACTAGAGGACTTTCTACTCCCGTATTTTGCGAACCACCTGACCCAGCGAAGCATCTGCATGGTTTCCATAAAGTGCGCAGTACAAACAACAGTACTTAACACCATCAACACGCAGATAACACGTGGCCTTAACCGCAACTGCCCCTGTGAGAGAACTATTCTAGTAGCGTTGGACCTGTCAAAGGTGTCTGATACCATCAGCCACTCCAGGCTGCTAGAAGACGTAGTGGCCTCCTCACTACCCTAAAGAATCAAACGGTGGTCAGCGAAATATCTGAGTGGTCGACAAACAGGGGGTTCCACAGGGTGGTGTGCTTTCCCCACTACCGTTAAACTTCTATATTTCCAAGCTCCCTCAACCACCAGAGGGAATCTCAATTGTCTCTAACGCTGACGATTGTTCGATATTGACGTCTGGGAATAGAATTGATGACTTGTATTCGAAAGTAAACGGGTATCTCTCCGAGCCTTCTCGCTTCTTCACTGCTAGGGGTCTAACCCTCTCCCCTACAAAATCCTCTGCGACGTTATTTACCAACTGGACGAAGGAGGTCAGACTACCGCTAGGTGTTTACGGCGATGACACACCAATTCCGACTGTGAATAATCCTAAAATAGTCGGAGTAATATTCGACAGTCTGTCAGTTCTCTGCGCATACAACCGCAATTGTCAACAAAGTACAGAGCCGCAGCAAGGTCCTGAAGTCGCTAACCGGCAGTACCTGGGGCAAAGACAAGGAAACGTTGCTGGCAACATACAAGGCAATTCGCTGGCCGGTTCTAAATTACGCAGCACCAGTGTGAATGCCGTTCTGGGCGCACAACCACCAGGCATAGACGAGACGGAGCTTCGTCTGCCTCGGGAGACACGGACCACAATAGCCCAACTTCGCTCTGGCAACTGCAGCAGGTTGAACTCATACCTGAACAAATTAGATGCAGATGTGCCAAAGGAATGTCCGGCATGCTGAGAGACACCCCACGACTCGAATCATCTCTTCGTATAGCCGGAAAACCCAACGCAACTAAATCCGCTGTCCCTGTGGACAGACCCGATAGAGACTGCACGCTTCTTGGGTCTTCCGTTAATTGAGCTTGACGACAACGACTGAGATACTACCAGAACAACAACAGCCAACTTTCGTTCAACTTTTGATTCAACTAATCGCCTGTGAAAGTTGAAAAATGCAAACGCTGCTTAACAAGCAAATGAACACAAAACAAACAAACCGAGCAAAGCAAAATGCCAAAAAAAGCAAAACCAACCAAAAAGCAAACTGTTATATAAATTGAGTTTGCAAAATGTTAGTGCAGATATTGCGCAATTTGGACGGCATGGAAACGCACTTTTAGCAAAGATTTTTGTCAAAACTATAAATACTTAACATTTTAACTTCTTTGATTTGGTAATGCAATATATTTTTCAAAAAAAAATCGTGTTATTTTCTTGCTCTTATTTTGCTTTTAAATAAAAAGGAATTAATGGAATATATAGGAATATATAGGAATATGAGTTATAGGAAGTTTTTTATGAGAACAACAAGTAATAGCAGTAGAGCAAACACAACCCTGTCATGTATTTTGTTGTTGCTTGTGAAACCTAGAATGACAAAACAGAAAGATGTGTAAACACATTCGACCAATCAAAAGCAAGCATAAAGGCTTCTAATAGGGCTATTCGCGATTCGGTGCATAAGAGCTGACAAATTTATGCAATTGCAGAAATATGCCATGGATTGTGAGCGACCTTTATTAAACTGTCATGGTAAAGCTTTTGCAAAACAATTTTTGTGCATCAGCTTTGGTTTTGTTTATGAATGCAATGCATAGCATTTGTATGCTATTTTTTTCGTTTGTGTATTGCAAATAATTTATTTTTATTTTATTTATTTATCATCAGTGAATACATATTTTCATACTGACTACTAAGAAACTATCTAACTACTAATTATTATTAAGGTAGCTTAAGAGGATATTATTTAATATCCCTCCAGAAAGTGAGAGGTCAATATCAATAACTCGATTGATTTGATTAAGCTCACTAAGAGCTCGACTGATAGGAGCATTTATGGCATAATTAGATTTAACTCTATACAAATAGAATATGTCGAAGTGACGCAAGTTCCTAGTAGGGATATTGAGAGGTATCCTACTTAGAATATCAGGACAGTCCATATCTCCAGTTATGACTTTTATTATGAAGGAACAAGAGAGATATTTTCTTCTATTATCAAGTGATTCTAATCTTAAGTGTAGACATCGCGAGGTATAAGAAGGCAAAGGTTGTATGAAATTTAAAGATCGCAGTGCAAATTTAATAAAAATCTTTTGAATACGCTCGATTCTATTTATATATGATACCTGGGCAGGCCGCCAGATAAAGGCAGCATATTCTAAACGGGACCTAACAAAGGCAATAAACAATTTCTTATGTGTATACGGATCCAAGAAATCTGAGCTGTTTCGACGAACGAATGCTAACATAGAGTAAGAATTTGCCACTATAAAATTTATGTGGCTTGCAAACGTGAGTTTTGAGTCAAAATATACTCCTAAATCTTTAACCGTGTTGACCGTCTTCAGCTTGTTCAGTAACAAGCTTTCTGGAAAAAATGCAATGAGAACATTTATCAATATTAGGAAAAAGTCGATTCTTCACGCACCAGGCGTGAACCCTGTCGAGATCGGACTGTAGTGCGAAAGAATCCTCCCTTCTTGCTACGACAGAATAAACCTTCAGGTCATCCGCGTACAGGAAAAATTTTGGGAAACGTTTAGTAGCGCTCACATCGTTTTTTGGGGTGGTTGGCGGAGGGGGAGGGGGCGGTGCCGCCGCCCCACTAGAAAGGGGACCGTCCCCGCTTTCTAAAAAGGCGTATCCCCCCTTGGGCTCCTCCCACAGGCCCCTAGGGAACCGTTTGAAAAAGGGGGAAAAACGGAATTTTCTTTGGCAAACTGAGCAGTTTGAAGTGGAATATGACCCAACTAACAGAAACCGTGCGATTTTTTAATAAAAGAAATTATGCCAAATTAGATATCGGGCAATTTTGAATAAAGAATAAAAAAGTTAATTAAAAATAGAAAAAACAAGTTTATATAAAAAAAATATTCTCTTTAACAAATGTATTTTTGCGTAGAATTTTTTCTGCGTAGGCGGCCTTCGGCTGCACTTGGGGATTATAACCCTCAGACAGTAGAATTCTCCTTTCTGTGCTGCCAAAGAAGGGAGGCTGAACACCTTTTACAGAGAACACCTTTCTGCGTAGGCGGCCTTCGGCCGCACTTAGGGATTATAACCCTCAGGCAGTAGAATTCTCTTTTCTGTGTAGCCAAAGAAGGGAGGCTGAACACCTTTTACAGGCGTAGGCCGCCTTCGGCCGCACTTAGGCATTATAACCCTCAGGCAATAGAATTCTCCTTTCTGTTTTGCGAAGAAAAGGAGCTGAACACCTTTTGCAGAGAACACCTTTNGAGCGCTACTAAACCCCACCCGAAATTTTGCATGTAGGAAGCATAAACTAATATCATTTATAAAAATAATAAATAACAACGGTCCAAGGATACTTCCCGGGGGAATACAAATGCAATGATGCTAGGCCATTTGCACCGGATCGCGAATAGCACTAATGTATGTGTATGTGAATAGGTTTGTTCGTCGAGCAAAAAATTTGTACGAATTTGTACGAATTATCACGATTTTTGCCCAAATCGCGTTCGTGCAGACCAAAAAATTATCCAACACTCAAAAATTGTGAGAGCAAAGTGACAGTTCTCTTGGAGAGAAGTTGCAAATTCTTGCTGGAAAAAATTTTGCCAGGAAGAATTTGCAAACACGAAAAACATGTGGTTGTGGAGCATGGTTGCATTTTTGTCTACAATAATTTGAATAAATTAGTTCGTTAAATTTAAAAATTTATAAACACGAGCGATTTTTTTATGAAAAAAGGAAGTAAATAATTGTTGATATAATTAATTTAGTTAATTCCAATGATTTGAACTTAATTCGGCTGAAAAAAATGGTATTCGCAATCGGAATGCAATTGCAACCAGAGTCGATTTAAGAAACCTGAAAGCTAGTACGATGAAGAAATTGAAATGTATGTTAAAGAAAGTCAGAACAACAAGAAATATACATCCGAAAGAATTTTAAAAATTCTATAAAAATTTTTTATGTTTGAAATGCAACCGTGGACGCCAGCTGGCAGCGAAACTTGCAAATTCCTGCAAATTTGCGTTCGTGCAGAAATTTGCAAGTTTGTCAACATGAGAGAGAATTTAAGAGAATTTTTTCTTACTCTCTGATATTTTGAGTGTTGGATAATTCTTGCTGGATTTTCGACGAACAAACCTAATGTGTATATGAATATAGCAAAGTTTGACAATTAACGAAATAGAAAAAAATCAAAACTTGCTGACAACCAAATTTTTGAGAAAAATTAATTCTCAATCAGTTGGCATCCCTTCATCAGCGCCCTATTCACAGTAATCTTTGACAAACCTTCTCGAATGCTTCTTCTAATAACCGGCACTATTTGACATTTCCAAACATTGTGGGTAAACGTTTTCTTGTGCTGTTTTCCAAAACTCGTGTTGAACGGTAATTTACAGTATTTATCTAAAAATTTGCTTATAATCATTGTATTATAGCATGTCGAAAGGGGCTGAGCTTGTGTAATGTAGTGAACTTCTGTTTAATTTTGGTTTATTTGGGTCTTGCAAAAAGGCGCGCGTGCTTCAAAATTAGACATGACCGATGAGGAACGGTCTTTCAACTACAATGACCTTAATTTGGATTTTTTGGAGCTTTCGCCACCACGAGCCAAAGCTGTTGTAAGGAATGCCTCCCCTATGCCTAACAGCTCTTCCTTCAGACCCAGCTCATTCAAGGCGAAACAATTGGCACAGAGGGTGGCTAAAAATGATGTTTTTGTCAATAAAATAGATATACTTAAAAAGGAAAATTTCGAGTTGCAGCAGAAGCTTAAGGATTTTAAAAATTCGGCGGCCGAAATTCAGAAACTTTATGAGCACGAAAAACAAAGAGCTAATAATTTACAAATACAACATGACACAGAAACTCGCAAGTCGAATGAGCTACAATCCCGTTGTGGTCAATTAAATAATGACATAGCTGAGAAGAGATTGCAATTAGAACAACTGGAAGCCCAGTTCGATGAGGCAAAGGGCCCGTTAAGCTATATAGAGCTCGCTATAAAATACCTGAAGTTATTTCACAAAATCAAGGAAGATGAAAATTCAAAGCATCATTTACCGCGCGATAAATCCCTATTCTTTGATCTGAGTAAATATTGCGAAGATAAGGGATATAAGGTTCCTTCTGTACAAGTAAGCAAGAAAAAGCGGGTATATAAAAAAGATACAAAGGTACAATGCAATCTTCTCGAGGCTGTAAATCCACCATCTTCAAAAGATACACAAACGGTAAGCACGCAAACAGCAGCGGGGCATCTATGCCAAATGCAGACTCAAACAGATTTGGCAACAGGGAGGGATGTGCATACGCAAACACTAGTAATAGAAACGCACTCAGTTAAAAATCTGCATACTAAAGGCGTACAAACCGCGATAATTGAAATGCATACACAAGGCACACAACATATTTCTACCACAACAACCCGGGGTACATCCACGTCGTGTTTCATCAAAAAACATAATGTTGGTACCTGTTTCCCAGAAGCTAAATTAGTTCCTCCAGTAACAGCAATGGTAGATGAATTATTACAATTATACAATGTGTCGCCGGTTAGTCCTATATCCGATCCCTTGCCACTAACATCACATAATGAATTGGAATTACCCACAACACCCGCTGCTGCACTTGAGTCTCTTTCATACAAGTCCATTGGCACGTGTACCTATTTATGTAATGTACAACGACAAATAGATTTTATTCCACTAGTATCCGGTATTAAGCGTTCAGAATCGAGTTCACCGTCGCCATTTACATTTGCTAACGTTAAGAATGAAGCGTACATGACACCCACTCCTTCACCACCACCATCGGCTACGCAGGCGCCTACAGTCCACAACAGAAACGATACTTCGACAAGAACAGCGACAAATAATAATTTTGGCAATATGCAGCCAGTGTTAAATTCAGTTGCACAGCTGCCTGATATGCCACCTGAAATGTTTTCCTCCGTTTGGCAAATGGCCGGACAAATGTTTATGGGACTGATATACCCACCAACGAATAACCGTCTACGCATTGCGCCTCAAAACAGAGCGCAAAACTCGCTAAATAAAGAACACTTTCACAATTGGATATCTTCGCTGTACGAAAGCATTCATCAGCCCAACCAGCAATCAGCATCATCACCACCACCACATCATGAATATCAGCAACAAGTCAATGGGAGTGAAAGAGATGTTGACACTGAAGCCGAAAATAATACAAATGTAGTTCAATCTAACAACTTAATACCGCGTGAAGGTAATAATTTTAGTATATGTAGTTTAACCATAGATTCAAAGCAATATAATATTCCAGATATACCAGCGACACGGGACTTCTACGATAGCAGTACAAATGAAAGGATTGAGTTGCATCACCGTGATGCCTTTGGTACCCAAACAGATAATACAATTTCGCCTAGAGGTTCAGATATATGCGAATCCCAGAACACTTTCGCAGAATGGATATTTAAAGAGCCACGAGAAATACCCAAAAAGTCTGCAAAGCAAGCTCGTGCCCGAAAGGCTGCTATGGAAGAGGCTTCATGTGTGAAAAAGCATCGGGATAAACTAGAGCGTAAAAAACGAAAGAAAGAAAATCGGAAGAGGCTAGCCAAGCAGATGACTACAACCGTATTCAATGACGAATCAAATGTTATAGCCGATTTGGAATTAAATAATCAGCAACAGAATGAGAAAGGTTTCGCAACTGCTGTTGAATTTTGTGCCAACCTCTGTAACTTAAATAATTATTCTAATGATGAATCTTACTGGGATGAAATGGATATCGGTGTTGTAAATGCCAACCAATCGAACAAGCAAGATTTATCTTATGCCGTGAATATGGAAACTGAAAAATTAAATAATAGTGAAACTGGTGTGGATAATAATGGCGGGAAAATTTATGTCGATTTCGAGCTTAAGCAAAATGAAAAGATGGGGGAAATAAGAGAAGAGCAAGCAATTGCGCAAGATAATACATGCAAAGATTTTGGGCATGTCGGTTTTAAGGAAACTGACGAAGCGAGCAAAAGTATGGTGGGCGTAAATAATAGTTGCGGGAAGGTTGAGGTCAATATCAATTGTAAGCTGAATGGAAATATGAATAAAATAATAGAGGATGAGGAAGTAAAAGTACCTGATTACACACTGTTCGACAGTGAAAATGCAAAATGTGATAATTTGGATTATATCGAGGCGATAATCGAAACAGAAGCTCAGACAGAACCTTTGGAAACTGAAATAAAATTTGAAAAAAATGCGTGCTGTATATTTGGTAGTGATTCAGAAGAGGAAGCGGAAACACATTTAGCAGACACGCAAAGTATTGAATTTGGTGCGGGCAATTCAGAAACGAGCATGGTTTTTAAAAAATCTGTAGAATCATTAGACAACAAAGAAAAACACGTGGTAGCAGAAAATATGGAGGAAGATTCCCGAAAATCAACAGAAAGGAGAGATGACTTCTGCGTAATTTCTCCAAACAGCGGAGAAAATGTAAGCCTCAGGCAGTCTGTGACTTGCCTATCAGATAATAAAGAGCCTGAAGAAGGTCGTAATCAAATTCTTTCCGACTTAGCATTAAGTGATACGGAAAGCGAAGAAAGAGAAGCCATTATACCCTCATTTGAACTTAATCTAATTAATCAATCTAGAAGCCAAAGCCTTAGTGACGACGATGAATCCGACGATCCTGTACTTGTGATCGTTGAGGAAGTTGCCGATGCTACCAATGCAAATAATTTTGTAATAACTTATGGAACTAGAAACTCCCAATCCCCTAACAAAGATCCTTTACAGCAAAGTGGCAGCGATACTGACATTTCCACCTTGCTGGAGAGTGCAGTTATGGATGATTTATTGGCCAATTCGTCAACTCAAAAACTTTTCAATAGCATATTGGGTGAGTCGCCAAATGAGAAAATGCAAGCAATAACACCACGCAGGCGTGGTCGAAAGCGCAATAGTGAAGCACCCGTCGTAACTTTTTGCAAGCGGTCGGAACGTTTGCGTGCAAAGCATGACGAAACTACGCAGCTCAGCAGTGATGAGTCTTTGTCATCGCCAGCAAAGTATTCACATAGCAGACAACATTCCCCAGAACCGAGCGGCGTTAATGGTATTTGCGATGATATTTCGGGGAATTGTTATAATAGTAGCCCAAGGAAACCGCCGCATAAAAAACTCTTACATTCATTAACTAAAGAACAAATTAACAAACAGTTCGAACGGTTTATTGAAATTAGACAGAGAGTGGATAAAATAGAGTTTGAGGAGAAAGTTGCAGAAGTTCAACCTAAGACGGCCCGTACAGAAGCCGATGTCAACGCCGTTTGCGAAAGCTTACCTGCACAAACCGACAAGCATAGTGATGTAGGATGTGCATCTGTTGAGCGCGTCGCAGACGAAACGTCCGCTTCATTGCGCCCCTCGCCAATACATGCCACAACACAACAATCAGAACCTTCCTGCTCCGGCGCTCTTCCATCTCTCGAGGCTAGCGATCAGCCATCTACCTATTGTCTATCAAATACTTCCTGCCACAAACCAGAACAGTGTCCAAAGAACGACGCGCACATTACTCAAATGGACTATGATACGCCATCCTCACCTCCGCCATCATCAAAAATAGACGTCATCTTGAACAAAACGCAACCATGTCGAGAAATACCCCTAGAATTGGATATGTCATATTATTCTCACGACCGAAAGAGTGTTTTGCAATACTTAATCTATAACTACTCTTCCGACATTTATGCTATTGTAACGGGGAATAAGAATCAGCCTAAAACGGAAAAATTTGCTGTACAACTCGAAAAGTTTCTAAACAACACTCGCGATAGAGTTGATATTTTGGCATCTACACTCGCGGCATCTTTGCATGAGGAAATTGAAGATAGTCAAGTTATAGGAAGCTTAATTGTTGATCAAATAAGCAAGGCGCCACGTCCTGAAATCGAGCTCGGATGTGAGTTAGCACTCGTTCCCCGTAAATACATTGGCACACATTTGCGGCTTATATCGATCGTTTTGCGTCACTTGCAATATAGACGTGCAGATATTGCCGCTGTTCTTTTAACAACAATTGAGAGTATACTATTTAATTATCGGACACAGGAAATATCGTTGAGCGCCGCTTTGAATCTCACACAGTTGTATCTACTTGTCATTCCTTTCCACAACAGTCAACTTAATTCGGCACGTCTTTATATCGGCAAGTGTCTGTATTATTACAACGTTAAAGCATTTCCAATGATCTACGAGGTACTCTGTTGGTATCCTACAACGCTGCCGCATCGAGACGAGCCCAATTACGATCACTCCGATGCGCTCATTACAGTTATTAAACACTTTTTAATGGGTATGACTTACAATATGGACAGCGAAGATCTACGTCACAGAGAGCTACTTTCGCTATTACGCTACAGTTATCATTTTGAGCCCTACACACCCAAAGCCCTCGAAGTGTTATGTAATCTAGTGTCAAAACTCAAATCTGGTCACCTAACAAATCTGAAATACGCATTTGCCATCTTTTGCAAACGAAATGCAAAACTCGTAGACATTTTACTGCAGCAACAACTCTTGCCACTTGCCGATGAGTACTATAAGTTGGTGCAGCATTCAGAAGAATATGACGAGCGCATCGCGGCCCTACTCGAATGTATATCGGTGGTGGTGAAGCCGCTACCGCTGGATACAGATGTCTCGATTTATTTCTCGATATTTGAACGCTTCCTGTGCGCTGTGCACCGCCCTCGCGTACAAGAAGCGACTGTTTTAGCCATATTGCGACTTCAGCGATTTGGTCACAATCGCTGTTTTCATGCACTCGCACACTTTAAGCCCCATTATCCACTTCAAATGCTTACTACTAACGTGCTCAAGACTTTCATTCATAAGAAACCGTTGAGATATTGGAGGGACATATTGAAGCAGCCGTTAAATAATCAATGCTAATATTTGTATGGATATTTTAGTTGTGTACTCTTGTTTTTTGAACTAATTGTATTTGTTGTATTAAGAAAGCACGTTTGTCATTTAAAATATGCACTTTTAATATTTATTTTGATTGTGTGATTGATGAAACAAGTTGAGAAGTATAATATTTATATTTTTCCATGAAAAAGTGTAGTATTTAATAGTAATAAATTTTATAAAAAAAAGCCTGAAATGTAAACATAGAAATCTATTAGTACAAATTGCGACTTTAAATTGGTTCCGAAGCTCCTCATATCGAAGAATAATTTCAAATGGAATTGAATCGTTGTCTTCTTCACTATAGTAGAACACGTTAAACATTTTTTATGCGTGACTTTATGCATGTTTTAAACATTTTTCATTATAAAAGGCCTTAAAATAATCTAAAAATTTTAAGATCCAAAAGATATGGCCAAGTCCAATAAAGCACGCCAGCCCTTTCTTTTCTGTGCAAACTGAAGCCAATCGGAAACACCAAGTGAAGCCAAATCCTTCTCGGCTCTTTACATTTGGTCAAAACTGCGGGTTCCAAGTTGCATACCTTCAGGGTGGCCTGAAAATCCTCTACATTGTCCCATATAAATAAAAACGGCTTTATATTTATCAATTTAAACATTATTTTACTTCAACTAAAAACATACGTAGGTTGTTGCAAAACTTACTTTACAACAATATTTGATATATGTATGTATATTTTTATGTCTTATAAAATATTTAAATATGCTTATTTCGTATGTGATTAAAATATGCACATACAATTCCAATATAAGATTGCACAATTTCTATTGACAACAATGCCTTTTAAATACATGTGCAAGCGGAAACAAACAAAGTAACGATAATACATTTTGTTATACATACATATATTGTATAAAACTCTAACGTCGGCGAATTCATAACTATCCGAAATTCGCGAGTATGCAAACGCTTACTTCGAACGTGCAGTTTATAATTTATACTGTTTTATTTTACAATTTACAACGGTTCGAACTGCATTTCGCCCATTTGGCAAAGCGTTTTTACACTTTTTAAATTTTACTGTACAAATAACTTAGTTAGGATTTTTTACATGTAAAATGCGTCGTTTAAATATATATATATTTTTTTTTAATTTAAGTAATCATTTTCAATTAGCACGAGTTCCCGCAGATCTTTGAGACTAATACCCAAAGCGAACCATAAGCAAGGCGCTGCCAATTCAGAAGATAACTGTCGGTTGACACGCGGCGTGTTAGAATTAATTTCCTCAGTACTTATTCATTACTTTCACTGCAGTTTACTTATATACTAATTACTCAATATTTCTTCTTAATCTCTTTAAAGCAATGCTGATGCTACCACCATGTGGATGCGTATGCTTGTTCCAGTTCATGCTATAGGATTTTGTTGATCTAAAATTCGATATAGAAAAGTAAAAAAGCAAAGGCATATAAATACATACATATATGTATTACTTAGCCTACCAGTGAGCGTCGTTGGTGTTCCTTTTCAAGTGCCACTTGCGTTTGTTGTGGTGAGAACTTCAAAACAGCCGATATCACTTTGACAAGAGTTTCATTGTTACCATTAGCAGACCCCGTTAAATACTGAAATGATAGAGTATATACATATATAAGAAAAGACTCAATAGACAGAAAACCCGGTTGCACTTTTGTACAAGGGTAATAAAATAAAATTTCTTTCTTACCTGGAACATAATATTTTTTAAGTACTCAAATTCCGTGTTCGCTGTTATGCCTTCGTTATGTTGCATTGACACCTATGTGCGTACATGCATAAATATAGAACAATTACTAATTCGACTAATGTTAGATATATTATCTAGGCTACCCACCAAGGTTTCGTCCAGCTGTCGTGAGAGCTTGGCATTCTGCAACTTCAAACGTTCATTCGACTGCTCCAATATCAGGTAGTTTTCACACTGTTGTTCAAGGAACAGGTTTCGCTCAGATACATCGCGGACTTCGTTCATAATTTCACGTAGTTTAGCAGTTAATTCGGCTTTTTCCCGTTGCAATAGCTCCTCTTGTTGCGATGCAGACAACGCTTGAGCTGATGACGACGTCGTCACATTATTATCCATAGCATGTGGCGTAGCAAGCAGTTGTTGTGCGTGCAAATCAGCACGTAATCGTTCGACTTCCTCCAAACGGTCAACCATATGTTTCGCATTGCTTTGCAAATCTTCTATCTCTTGTTGCAACTCTGTGATTTCGGCTGTAGATTTGTGTTTTAGATCCTCCAATTCGCTTTGTAACGTTTCGTTGATGCGACGCAAATGCTCTGCATCACTAGTTGCAACTGGTTTTTGGCCACTGTCTACAGTTGTCGGCGCGAGTGAGACTTCTTGCAAGCTGCTACGTTCGGCAATTTCAAAGCGCAACGTATCCAACTCCTGCACTTTGCTGTCAAGCTCACTAGTGACTTGTTGTAATTCGGTGCGAATTGTGTCCACTTCCTTCGTCTTAGCGGCGATCTCGGTGGCGTATGTGGATTTGACCTCATCGAGCTCGTGCCTGGTGTCGCGCAATTGTTGCTCTACTTCGATCAATTGGTGTTGCTTGTATAGCAGATCACTTTGTATCGCATCGTTTTGCTCGGTGATGTAGTTGGCGTGTACAATCTGACGCTCCAACTCGGCCTGTTCGTTTGTCAACCTTTCTTGTAACTCTTTGCATTCCCTATTGGCACTGTCAATAGCGTTTTGCTTCTCTGCCAATTGGGCATCGTGCTTTTCCGCATTCTCGCGCAGCACATAAAGCTCACATTGTATCGACTTCAATTTCTCACGCATATCCTGTCCTTCTTGTACTTGCGTGGCTACGTTTGCGCGTTGTTCGACCAACTCTGTTTCCAATTGTTTCACATGTTTATTCAAGTATTCGTTTTCAATTTGGAATTGCTCAAAATTTGCAAGTTTTTCGGCATCTACTTTCCGGCTCGCAAGCTGTTGTCGAAGATTTTCGGTTTCTTCCCTAAGTTGTGTTACTACAGACTCCAAGCTTTGCAATTGCAGCTCATTTTTATTCTGTAATTTATCCATATCGACTTGGATCGCATCATTGCTTTCGTGCAATCGCTCTATGTCGCTATTAGCAGAACTTAGCTGCTCCTCCAGCTCATTAATTCTTTTGTTAGCCAACTCTGCACTACCTATGGCTTCGACGCGTAACTTCTTTTCTATTTCTAGCTGGTTTTGCAGTTCTGCCGCCGTGTTACCCAGCCTTTCGCTTAGACCATTTGCATTTTGCATTTGTTGTTTTAATGATTCCAATTCCGTTTCTTTATTTTTCACTTCTTCGCTATACGTTTTTGATTGCTCCTTCAATCTTTCAATCTCATCTTTCAATAATTTCAGTTCTTGTTCATTTTCTGCCTTTTCTCTGGCCAATACCTGCAACTGAGACACTTTCGCCTCAAGCTCTTGGCAAACTTGCCGACTCTGTTGCAGTTCGGTTGTTAAAATGCTCAAATCTTGGTTCAATTCGGCATTTTGAGCTTTTAGTAATTCGCGTTCTTCCCTCGCGTGCTCCAAATTTTCGAACGTCGTTCGCAATTGCACTATATCCTGTTTCAACTGTAGTTTCTCTTCGTTTGCTATTTCTAGGTTCGCTTTCGCCGCTTTCTCCTTATCAATCAACTCGTTTTCCAATTCTTCGATACGACGTTTTTGTTCCCTCATTAGACTCTGCAATTTTTCATCATCTGATTGTGTTGCTCTAAGCTCATTCAATTCTGCGCTTAGTGCCTGTTTCTCTCTTTCCAAACGCTCTCTAGCATTTGCCATCTCCTTAAGTTCTTCCTCACATGCTTCGGCATTCTTTTTCTCTTCAGCACATTTTTCCTCTACTTGCTGTAACTGTTCGACGGTTTCACGTAATTTAGTTTCCAACACCAACTTTCGTTCCCTGAGCTGATCCAGATCTTCTTGTATAGACGTCTGGGCGTCCTCTGCCAGCAACTTTTCCTTTTCCAATGCATTTAATTTATCTTGCAATGTACGGTAATCGTGATCCATTAGCTCTTGTGTATTGTGTAATCGAGAATTTTCGTCCAGAACCTGCGACATTTTCTCGTTTATTATCTGCAGAGCTGTCTCCGCCGAATCTAGTTTAAAGCGCAACTCATTTGCATTTGCCTCTTCTGTGTCTTTCTGGCGCTCTCGCTCTGCAAGTTGCTTCTCAAGCCTATTGTTTAGCTCTTCTAATAGGCAATTTCGTTCTGCTAATTGTGAATTCTCGGTCTCGACTTTCTGTAACTTTGTCTCAACCTGGCGCAACTTGTCTTCAGCATCTGCTAATTGCTCGAGCCCACGTTGACTGCCATCGCTGGCATTCTGCGCCTCCCTTTGCATACTCTCGATCTTAGTCTCCAATTTTAACTTCTCCGCTTCCAAATCAGCGTGCGATGATTTCACAACGCGCATCTCTTCTTGCATTAGCGCTATATCTTTCAGTATACTTTGCACTTGTGCCTTTAGTCTAGCTTTCTCCGCTTCTGCTCGCTGTTCACGTGCACCAGACTCAGTTTGTAAATTGCTGAGATGTTGCTCGTGTTTATTCAGCTCTGTGCGGAGCATTTCAATTTCGTCGTTTTGCTCTTGTATACGCTTCTGTTGAATTTCGAATTGCTTCTTCTGTTTCGCCAATTTGCTTGATACTGATTTTAATTCCTTTTCTTTATTGAAGAGCTGCTCCTTCAAAGTCCTCACTGTTTCAGTAATTTCTTCATTGGCCTTGTGCAGTTCTGCTTTGAGTGCAGCAATCGTTTCGCTCTCATTTTGCGAATTTCGATCATTTGATATCTTCAATTCTGAACCTAGTTGTTCCACTATTTGTATCTGTACATCCCTTTCGGATTGTGCTTCTTGCAACGACTTGCTCAATTCTTCCTCTCGAGTGAGCATAGCTTTGACACGTTCCTCCTCCGCTGTTTTTTCTTGCTGATGCCGCTCAAGCAGTTGCTTCAGTGTACGTACTTCTGCTTCCGATTCTTGTAGTTTTCGCTCATTTTCCGAAAGCGTTGAAATGAGATTGTCGTTTTCATTCTTCGTTCTGTTCAATTCGTTGTCGATTTCGGCTAGCGATACTTCGTTTTGCTGATATCGCTGGACCATCTCATTCAGCTGCGCATTCTGCAGCCGTAACTCGTCCAATTTATTTTCGCTATCCTTACTTGCTTTTGCCAATTTCTCCTCAGTTGTTCTGAGTGTAGTATCTTTCGCTATTTGTTGCTCCTTCAACTGCCCAAGCATGTGTTCCGCAGCAATAAGCTTGGCATCAATTTCTTGTTTTGTAAACTGTAAATTTTTGAATTTTTCTCGAAGTTCCTTGAGTTCGTCTGCTTGTCCGCTCTGTTGTTTATCCTTTTTCATGGCCTCTTCCAAGTCTATTTGCATTGCGGTAATTCTGGCTGTTAGTTTTTTTACTTCACTCTCTTTACTTTCGAGTTCTGAATAAATGGCTTGTTTTGTTTGCGCCAACAGCAGTGCATTCTCTTCCTCCTGTTTACGTAATTGAGCTATAGTTTCTTCAGCATTCATCATGTTTGTTGTCAGCTCTTCGATTTTACTTTGACGCTCCCCTAATTCTTTTTCTAATTGAGCCAAATGCCGTGCATCTTTTTCGAAATTTGCACTTTCGAGATTATTTATCGAAACTTTACCAATTAACTCTTCTTGGTTAATCAGATTGTTGACACTGTTATTATCGTCTAGATCTATTAGTGAAGCGCCGCCATTCGCTTCGTTGGAGGCAGATGATGGCGCAACGTCTGTCACATTGTCAGGATTTTCCCCTAGTAATTGCAGCTTTGTTTGATACGCTTGCATTTTGCATTGCATATCATCCATTTCCATGCGTAGTGCTTCTTCGAGATGAGCTTTTGCTTGCTGTTCTAAAGAACACTGCTCACGCAGTTCGCTGATGCGACGAATAGCCTTATCTTGCGTTTCCACGAGTACAGACTATAAAAGAGATAACAAAAGCGAATAAGCTACGAACGCAACTAAAGTGGTTAGTTAAGAAACACATGTCTAAACATTTATTATATACCGTCACAGCTGCTCTAAGGATGCCAACGAATCCCTTATTTTTAAAGATATGACTTTGAATTTATATTCTATTTATCTAAATCTGTATAATTTAGAAAAGGCTGAAACAACACTAAAAGAAAACTAAGAAATTATAAATGATGATGAAACTTGGTCCAATTGACCTAATTTTTGTAAAAAGTTTGAAATTTGGACTTATATGTTTTATGTTAATAATGAGCTATTCCTTCATAAAAAATTAATAAGCAGTAGGAAAATAATTATTTTTCCGCCACTGTATGTATGTATGTATATTATATTTTTACCTTGCGCAACTACATATCTTGTACTGATTGAAAGTTATTATAACGAGTGCTCTATATTTTTTACTTCTAAAATTGGCACAATTCGTGCAAATTATTGATATTCGTTCTTAGGTGAAAACAACAAAAGTTATGCACTTGTTCAAAAATTTCATTTTTCGAGTTGGTAAGAGTCATAGACATACATACGTAAATATGCATGTTTATTAGGAAGAAATAAAAAACTATACCCGCGCCTTAGCACTGTCGCGTTCTAAGTCCTTATATTTCTTTGCCAGATCTGCGTAACGACTGCGATATTTATGGTAGCGATCCAAAGATTTTTTATATGCATCGAAGAGCTGCTCTTTGGTGACCACATCTAGTTTTGCCGTAGAAGCAGTATCTTCCAGCTCACTGCAATTCGACTCTAAATCTGATTGTATATGATACATCTATTGGATATTGGGCAAAATATGAAAGCCTTAACAAAATTTATATGGAAGATGAATTACGTACGGGAGGTGATTCGTAGGTTGGTAGACGGAAAGACACATCACTGGCTATTGATGAATTGGATAATTTTCGCGTACGGGGAATCGCACCACCCGTTGGGACGGGTCCATTATGAAGCGTACGTCCGGTTACTGCACCCGTTGGCAATTTAAGAGGTTTGTACGGAGAATTTTGCGGTGTATCTGAAAAAAGAATGTATTTATATACATATGTATACAAGTATACTATACGAATAATATAATCCAACTAAATTCCTTACCTTCCTCTGTAATGCTAAAAAAATTTTCGTTGGTTGTCGTTGTCGCAGTTGACTCCGATCCGCTAGGTGTTGTGCTAGCCGACGACGAGACTGCGGCCTATTTTCCATTTTTGGCCACCACAATCACATTTATGGGGAATAAGCAAAATAGGGAGTGATGAAAAAAAACATTAGTTTAAGATGAGCGAAAGCACGAGCAAAAATTAAAGAGAAAAACACAAAATTCCTTCCCCCACCCTGAAGAAGTCAATGCCTCCCCCGCTCAGTCAGAGTAACAATACACTTGTAACAAATTTATTGGTTTTGACATCATTTCATTTGCTTCAGTGGTCATTGGGACTAGTGGTTTGTCGCCTTGTGTTTTCACCAAGGCGAATTTATACAAGGTGGTGTTACTGGTTCCCTAAATTTGTTTTCCCCAGTTACCGCAAATTGTTGGAATTTGGACGGCGACGCCTTCACTTCCTCTATTAGTTTGTTTTTTAAATTAGCAAACATTTTGTATAGTTTTTCTAGTTCTAATTAGACTATAATTTTTTTTTTCTACACAAATTTTCAGAATATTTCCCACTCTGCGCAATCCATTAAAATACTACGTGTAAACTGGCAAAATACGTGAAAAATTAACTGGTGAAAGTAACAACGTTGCAATACGCCAATTTGGAATCGAAATTATCAAAAAAAACTTCAGAATTTTTAAAACAAAGTACAGAGATTTCTAATAATAAGAAATCTACAATTTAGAGCTTTGCATATTCCATCTACATATAAAGGCATTTAGTAGACTCAAAAATGAGGTTTCCCATTGTATATAAAAAGCATTATTTCCGATAAAGATAATTTCTTTTGCCGAATTCTTACCCAATCGACGTTAACACCTAATTGGTATAAATATTAAGATTTTTATATTTCAATCGGTAGTTCGTCGATTGTTATTTACTGTTCGTCCATTTTCATCGTTGTTCGTTAGCAAAACAGTAATAATTAATTTTTCAATTTTTACTTTACGTTAAACATTGCTATGTTCGTTTAACGTAAAGTAAGAATTGAAAAATTGCAAACCAAGAAACGTTAAAATGCACGAACAATGAAGAACAATTGACAAACTATCGATTGTAATAATAATTAACCCAAAATAACCTGTTATAGGTGCTAGATACAAGAATACTTAAAAATTAATTATTTCTGTGAGGCTTACGAACCAACGTTAAAAATGGCCGAACAGTAAAGAACAATCGACGAACTATCGATTACAATACAAAAATCGTAATATTTATACTACTGAGGTTGGTTGGGTAAATATTTACTCATTTTCAATGTACATTTAAAAAAATATTCACAATCACAAAGTTTTTATCTTGTCCGTCCTGCGTTACCTTAATTAGAGTTTATTTAATTTTGTTGGCAACTCTATTTCTGCGAGTCGATTAGAAAACGTTTGCACACATTTTTTCCGCAGATATTTTATCAAAAATAAAGAAAAATATCAATTTTTTATCTTCATAATCCTGTGAAAACGATAATATAACTTACGATAAATAGGGTGAGTATATTATTTCTCTTCAGAGTATATATTCGCGGAGGAAATAATCAGAAAAAAATTTGCGTATTGAACGTTGGTGTCTAGCGAGGGCATCTGTCGTCGCGGTACACTGTTTTGTGTATCCGTCGATGGATTTTTCATACATTTGCCGAAATCTTATTTTCAGGTTTGCGGTCCACTTGTTTATAGCAAAGGCATACGAAAATGTCGTTGCCACCATATATGATACCACCCAATGCCTGGGCGGCACAAATAATGGCGCAGCAGCACGCTCAGGCTTATGCTGCTGCCGCTCAGGTGCAGCAAGCACAAATGCACGCACATCAAATGGCTAATCAAATACAACAAATACCTCCACCGGGCGCACCGTTGGCAGGGCCAATGACAAACGGCAATGTTGGGATGCAACCAGGTGGAATGGGGGGTGGTGGTATAACTCAAGCAAACCTTGGACAAATACCGACGCCCAAACCGGACATAATTACTGAGGAAAAATTACAAGAAAAAGCGCAAAAATGGCAGCAATTGCAATCGAAGCGATTTGCAGAGAAACGAAAGTTCGGATTCGTAGATGCGCAAAAAGAGGACATGCCTCCAGAGCACATCCGCAAAATTATACGGGATCATGGTGATATGACATCGCGCAAATATAGACATGACAAGCGTGTATACCTAGGTGCCTTGAAATACATGCCACATGCTGTGTTAAAACTACTTGAGAACATGCCAATGCCCTGGGAGCAGATACGAGATGTGCAGGTGTTGTATCACATAACAGGTGCCATCACATTCGTCAATGAAATACCATGGGTTATTGAGCCAGTTTATATTGCTCAATGGGGGTAAGTGATTGGCTGACGATAACAAGTCATCCTGATAATAATTGTTGCCAAAACTTATTTTCCGTAATGATAGAACCATGTGGATTATGATGCGTCGAGAAAAACGTGATCGTCGCCATTTCAAACGTATGCGCTTTCCACCCTTCGATGATGAGGAACCGCCATTGGACTATGCAGACAACGTTTTGGACGTGGAACCTTTGGAAGCCATTCAGATCGATTTAGATTCAGAGGAAGATGGCGCCGTTTATAAATGGTTCTACGAACATAGACCATTAGTTGGTACTCCGTATGTTAATGGCTCAACATATCGTAAATGGAACTTAACTTTGCCACAATTGGCTACATTGTACCGTTTGGCCAATCAGTTGCTGACAGATTTGGTAGATGATAATTTCTTTTATCTTTTCGACCCGAAAAGTTTCTTTACGGCTAAAGCATTGAATATGGCTATACCAGGTGGTCCCAAATTTGAGCCTCTTATAAAAGACCACAACGTTGGGTAAGTTAAACTACATTCGCACAATTTAACCCCAAAATGTATACGAAACTACGGACATTTATAAATTTGTATTCATATAGCGATGAAGATTGGAATGAATTCAATGACATTAACAAAGTTATAATACGGCAGCCGATTCGCACGGAATATCGCATTGCTTTCCCTTACCTTTACAATAATATGCCACATTTCGTGCACCTTTCCTGGTAAGTAGAGCGCACAAAATATATTTACATTTACACTTTGCACTATTATAGTCCACTTTAATACACAGAAAGCCAATGAATTGTGGTTTCTGTATCTTCATATATTGGTGGTACATAAAACAAAACTCATAAGAAAATTACTACTTTCAAGCGACTTAAACAAGTTTTTAGAGGTGCAATTTGCGTTTTAGCTGTATTATAAAGTTTACAACCTATAGCTGCTGACAGTTGCATACATTTGACCCGTATTTACCTTTTCATATCAACATAAATTATAAATGCATACGTATGTATGTACGTAAAAGAAATTATTAAATTTCTTTCATAGTGCCCTTAAATTTTGTTTGCTCTCAGGTATCACACACCCAACGTGGTTTATATTAAAACTGAAGATCCCGATTTGCCCGCTTTTTACTTTGATCCACTCATCAATCCTATTTCACATCGCCATGCTAATGCTAAAGTGGTAGAGCCTATGCCAGATGATGACGAGGACTTCTCTTTGCCCGATGAGGTACAGCCCTTCCTGCAGGACACACCGCTTTACACTGATAATACAGCCAATGGTATAGCGTTGCTTTGGGCACCGAGGCCTTTCAATCTACGTTCGGGTCGTTCGCGACGCGCTATAGATGTGCCGCTCGTGAAAAGTTGGTACAAAGAACATTGTCCACCTGGTCACCCAGTCAAAGTACGTGTGAGCTACCAAAAACTTTTGAAATATTACGTTTTAAATGCACTGAAGCATCGCAAACCAAAACCACAAAAGAAGAGGTTAGCCAAAAGCATAGCAATGATAAGAATTTGAATCAAATTTTTTTGTTTCTTTATTACTTTAGGTACCTATTTCGTTCATTCAAAGCGACGAAGTTTTTCCAAACCACAACTCTGGACTGGGTGGAAGCTGGCTTGCAAGTTTGCCGACAGGGCTATAACATGCTTAATTTACTGATTCATCGTAAAAATCTTAACTACTTACATCTGGATTACAATTTCAATTTGAAGCCGGTTAAAACATTGACGACTAAGGAGCGAAAAAAGTCACGTTTCGGCAATGGTTGGTTTTTAAGCGCATATTTTAGTGTTTAATATTTTAACATTAGGAATTTGTTTGCCTTGAAATTTTTAAATAGGGTTCCGTTATTCTTTCTGTAAAGTTAAATGTAATTTTTCATAATATATTTTATAGCGTTCCATTTGTGCCGTGAAATTCTGCGGCTAACCAAGCTTATCATCGATTCGCACGTTCAATATCGTCTTAATAATGTTGACGCTTTTCAGCTGGCGGATGGACTGCAATACATTTTTGCGCATGTCGGTCAGCTAACTGGCATGTATCGTTACAAGTACAAGTTAATGCGACAGATACGCATGTGCAAAGATTTGAAACATCTAATATATTATCGCTTCAACACGGTGAGCAAATTTTTTTATAATAGTACACTTTTTGAACATACAAAATTAATAAACTATATCTGATTTGCTTGCCACCCTAGGGACCTGTGGGTAAGGGTCCTGGGTGTGGTTTTTGGGCGCCAGGTTGGCGTGTTTGGTTATTCTTCATGCGCGGTATAACTCCTTTGTTAGAACGCTGGCTGGGCAATTTGTTGTCTCGACAATTTGAGGGTCGCCACTCCAAGGGCGTTGCCAAAACTGTTACAAAACAACGTGTAGAGTCACATTTTGATCTAGAGTTGCGTGCTTCTGTCATGCACGATATCGTTGATATGATGCCCGAAGGTATTAAACAAAATAAGGCACGTACAATATTGCAACACTTATCGGAAGCGTGGCGTTGTTGGAAGGCGAATATACCATGGAAAGTACCTGGGCTACCTATACCCATAGAGAATATGATTTTGCGCTATGTTAAGATGAAGGCCGACTGGTGGACTAACACCGCGCACTACAATCGAGAACGTATACGTCGTGGCGCTACAGTCGATAAAACTGTTTGTAAAAAGAATTTAGGTCGGCTAACACGTCTTTATCTGAAAGCTGAGCAGGAGCGTCAGCATAATTATCTAAAAGATGGTCCATACATATCACCCGAAGAGGCTGTAGCCATTTACACGACAACGGTGCATTGGCTGGAGTCACGGCGCTTCGGCCCGATTCCATTCCCACCACTTTCCTATAAACACGATACTAAACTACTGATTTTGGCATTAGAACGTCTGAAGGAAGCCTACAGCGTTAAATCGCGTTTAAATCAGAGTCAACGCGAAGAATTGGGTCTCATTGAGCAGGCTTACGATAATCCACATGAAGCGTTGTCGCGTATAAAACGTCACTTGTTAACACAGCGTGCGTTCAAGGAGGTATTGAAGCAACATACATATAAAGGGAATAGTTCTCAAAAGCCAGTTTTTATATTCATTTTTAGGTTGGTATTGAGTTTATGGACTTGTATAGTCATTTAATACCAGTGTATGATGTTGAACCGCTAGAGAAAATAACGGATGCCTATTTGGATCAATATTTGTGGTATGAGGCAGACAAACGTCGCCTCTTTCCGCCATGGATTAAACCGAGTGACACTGAGCCACCACCATTATTGGCGTATAAGTGGTGTCAAGGTAAGTTGAAAGTGCACTGAATTGTTATAATGCAATGGATAATATACATACATTGTGGGTATATGTAGGCGTGCGTGTGTGTGATTTGTAGCAAAGTGATTTGCGTTTGAAATCCCCTTGTTGCAAACCTCACGCATGCGCGTTTCTACTATTCAACGTGTTATAATAATGGTGTTTTATTGAGCACAAAATATCCATTATTTTTTAAACAGTGTTAATAAAACGAAATGTTTCGTGAACGGTCGGGTTTTTTTCCGAAAATTTTTGTGATTTTTTCGGGATCTCTTTGTAATTTTTCCGGGTCTTTCGGGATTTTTTGTGTTTTGTTTTTCGACCATTTGAAATTTTTCACGACTTTTCGGAACACTTGCCGTATTTGTTTTTCAGCATTTCTCAAGTTTTATTTTTGCAAACTTTTGGAAAATTTAGTGGCCTTTCAAGATTTTTTCGGGAACTTTCGGAATTTTGGGGAATTTTCAGGTTCATTAAAATTTTAAATTGGAGTGTTTTCGGTGTCATTGAGAAGTTTTTATTATTTTTTCGGATTGCTGGTGTTTTTTGTGTGTTTCGGGTACTTCGACATTTTTTATTCGAAAACTCCAAGATTCATCGTGTTTTGTATCACGATCCTTTTGAAATTTTAGCGGACTTTTCGGGGATTTTATCACGTTTCGTATTGTTTTATTTTTTGCGACCTTTGGGGTTTTTTGGGTTTTGAGGACTTAAAAATCCCTGTATTTTTTCTGGGCTATCTTATCGGGAAAGTTTCTTCGTGTTGATTTTCGAAACGCAATGCATATGTGTGCGGTTAAAATTTAAACTATTCATCCTGTGTATACAAATATTTGCACAACGAGCAATACCATAATAACGGTTATTTACCGATTACTGTTAATAAGTGAACACTGCTGGTTACCTCATTTAATAAGTGTGATTAAGTGAATAATATTAGTCGTATTTTATCAATTTCCGTGCCAAAGGCATCAACAATCTACAGGATGTTTGGGACGTAGGCGAGGGCGAATGCAACGTTTTGCTGGAATCACGATTCGAAAAACTTTACGAAAAGATTGATTTAACACTTCTCAATCGTTTGCTACGTCTTATTGTGGATCATAATATTGCGGATTACATGACAGCTAAGAATAACGTCGTCATTAACTACAAGGACATGAACCACACCAACAGTTATGGCATTATAAGAGGTCTACAGTTCTCTTCGTTTATAACGCAGTACTATGGATTGGTTTTGGATTTGTTAGTGCTTGGGCTGCATCGCGCCAGTGAGATGGCTGGACCACCACAAATGCCTAACGACTTTTTGACGTTCCAGGATACAGTCACTGAGACAGCACATCCTATACGTTTATATTGCCGATATGTGGATCGCATTCATTTGTTCTTCCGCTTTTCGGCGGAAGAGGCTCGTGATTTAATTCAGCGTTATCTCACCGAACATCCAGATCCAAATAATGAAAATATTGTTGGCTACAACAACAAAAAGTGCTGGCCCAGAGACGCGCGTATGCGATTGATGAAGCACGATGTCAACTTGTGAGTTGTTTGCCTTTGAAAATATTTGTAAACTAAAATTTACATATTACTGTTTTTTTCCTCGTATTTAGGGGCCGCGCTGTTTTCTGGGATATTAAGAATCGATTACCACGCTCGGTTACAACAATTAACTGGGAGAATACTTTCGTTTCAGTCTACTCAAAAGATAATCCGAATCTATTATTTAATATGTGCGGTTTTGAATGCCGAATTCTACCAAAGGTAATAAAGCATTTTTCTTTTTAACATTATTCTATGTATGTATGTATAACATTTGCTATTTTCAGTGTCGTACGCAAACTGAAGAATTTACACATCGTGATGGTGTCTGGAATTTACAAAATGAAGTAACAAAGGAGCGCACGGCTCAATGTTTTTTGCGTGTTGATGACGAATCGTTGGGACGTTTCCATAATCGTGTCCGCCAAATTCTTATGGCGTCTGGCTCAACAACGTTTACGAAGGTCAAGTGTTTGTGCACTTCTAAACCATTAGCCGTTGACTAAATTCATTATTTGCCTTTTCCTTTCAACATACAGATTGTGAATAAATGGAATACTGCGCTTATTGGTTTAATGACTTACTTCCGCGAAGCCGTAGTAAATACACAAGAATTACTGGATTTACTTGTGAAGTGCGAAAACAAAATACAGACTCGTATCAAAATTGGTCTCAACTCTAAAATGCCCTCACGTTTCCCACCTGTGGTGTTCTACACGCCGAAAGAATTGGGTGGTTTGGGCATGTTGAGCATGGGTCACGTGCTTATTCCGCAATCCGATTTGCGTTGGTCTAAGCAAACTGATGTTGGTATTACACATTTCCGCTCAGGTATATTAAAGACTTAAAAAATTTTAAAATTTCAAAAAATAAAAAATATATATGTTCCATTGCCGGTAGGTATGTCGCATGACGAGGATCAATTGATTCCAAATTTATATCGTTATATTCAACCATGGGAGAGTGAATTCATTGATTCTCAGCGTGTTTGGGCCGAATATGCGCTGAAGCGTCAGGAGGCAAATGCTCAAAATCGCCGTCTAACATTGGAAGATCTCGAAGACAGTTGGGACCGTGGTATTCCACGTATAAACACACTCTTCCAAAAAGATCGTCATACACTGGCCTATGATAAGGGATGGCGCATACGCACGGAATTCAAACAATATCAAGTATTGAAACAAAACCCCTTCTGGTGGACGCATCAACGTCACGACGGTAAATTGTGGAATCTTAACAACTATCGTACGGACATGATACAGGCATTGGGTGGCGTTGAAGGTATTCTAGAGCATACACTCTTCAAGGGTACCTACTTCCCAACGTGGGAGGGTCTTTTCTGGGAGAAAGCATCTGGTTTTGAAGAGTCCATGAAGTACAAAAAATTGACAAATGCGCAGCGTTCCGGTTTAAATCAAATTCCTAACCGTCGTTTTACGCTATGGTGGTCACCAACTATAAATCGAGCTAATGTGTACGTTGGTTTCCAAGTACAACTCGACTTGACTGGTATTTTCATGCATGGCAAAATTCCCACCTTGAAAATTTCGTTGATTCAAATATTCCGTGCTCACTTGTGGCAAAAAATACACGAATCGATTGTTATGGATTTGTGTCAGGTATTCGATCAAGAATTGGACGCACTGGAAATCGAAACGGTTCAAAAAGAGACTATACATCCACGTAAATCGTATAAGATGAATTCATCTTGTGCTGATATATTGCTATTCCCTGCTTATAAATGGAACGTATCGCGACCATCTTTGCTGGCGGACACAAAAGACACAATGGACAATACAACAACACAAAAATACTGGTTAGATATACAGTTGCGTTGGGGCGATTACGATTCACACGATGTAGAACGTTATGCACGTGCGAAATTCCTTGACTACACCACAGACAACATGTCTATCTATCCCTCACCGACTGGTGTACTCATCGCCATAGACTTGGCATATAATTTACACTCGGCTTATGGCAACTGGTTCCCCGGCTGCAAGACGCTCATACAACAAGCTATGGCTAAAATTATGAAGGCTAATCCTGCGCTGTATGTGTTGCGCGAACGTATACGAAAAGCGTTGCAACTATATTCTTCTGAACCAACTGAACCTTATCTGAGTTCACAAAATTATGGTGAATTGTTTTCGAATCAGATTATATGGTTTGTGGACGACACGAATGTATATCGTGTAACTATACATAAAACATTCGAAGGCAATCTGACAACGAAACCCATCAACGGCGCAATTTTCATATTTAATCCACGTACTGGTCAATTGTTCTTGAAAATCATTCATACGTCTGTATGGGCTGGTCAAAAACGTCTGGGTCAGTTGGCCAAATGGAAGACAGCGGAAGAAGTAGCGGCATTAATTCGATCCTTGCCCGTTGAAGAACAACCTAAACAGATCATCGTAACTCGTAAGGGTATGTTGGATCCATTGGAAGTGCATTTGTTAGATTTCCCAAATATTGTGATCAAAGGCTCTGAACTGCAACTGCCATTCCAGGTGAGTAAAGAAATGTATTCATAAAGAATTATTGTATGCACATTAGGGTGTATCACTGCTGAAATTTCTAATATTCCAAGACCCCTCCAAAATATTTCGGCAAAATTTAAGTGCGCTGAGCCGATTTGATAACCTCAGATGAGTTTAAGCTTAAACGGATTGCATAAAAATGTTATAAACGGAATTAAAATAATGAGACTTTTGGAGGTATTTTCAAATCGGTTAATAAAAATTCTTGAAATCTTTTACACATTTTTTCCTGCCATTTGAGTATTTTTTTTTTTTTAATTTAATTGGCATTAACTGTCGGTTTACATAGCGCCAGGTTAATTCTTCTTTTCAACTCATATATATTATATTTCCTTATTAGTTAACTAACCTGTCACAATTCTTCCCAAAACAGGCTTGCCTTAAAGTTGAGAAATTCGGTGACTTAATTTTGAAAGCCACTGAACCACAAATGGTGCTGTTTAATCTCTATGATGATTGGCTGAAGACCATCTCTTCCTACACAGCATTCAGTCGATTGATTTTAATTTTGCGTGCACTACATGTGAATACCGAACGTACAAAAATCATATTGAAACCAGATAAGACAACCATAACTGAGGCTCATCACATCTGGCCAACACTCACCGACGAGGAGTGGATAAAGGTTGAAGTACAGCTTAAAGATTTGATTTTGGCCGATTACGGCAAGAAGAATAACGTGAATGTGGCCTCACTTACGCAATCTGAAATACGTGATATTATTTTGGGCATGGAAATTAGTGCACCATCGGCGCAACGTCAACAAATTGCTGAAATTGAAAAGCAGACGAAGGAGCAAAATCAATTGACGGCAACGACGACGCGTACAACGAACAAACATGGCGATGAAATTATTACCTCGACCACATCGAACTATGAAACTCAAACATTTAGCTCGAAAACAGAGTGGCGTGTGCGTGCTATATCTGCAACAAATCTACATCTGCGTACGAATCACATTTATGTCAGTTCGGACGATATCAAAGAGACTGGGTACACCTATATATTACCGAAAAACATACTAAAGAAATTTGTAACGATTTCCGATTTGCGTGCACAAATTGCCGGATACCTGTATGGCGTGAGTCCTCCCGATAATCCACAGGTAATTTCATAATCGGCTCATTGCTATGGAAATTTGCAATCTTTTATTGTTTTTCTTTTTAATTTCAGGTTAAAGAAATCCGTTGCATTGTTATGCCTCCACAATGGGGCACACATCAGACTATAAACCTGCCCAACACTCTTCCCACACATCAGTATCTGAAAGATATGGAGCCACTCGGTTGGATACATACACAGCCGAATGAGTTGCCACAACTGTCGCCGCAAGATATCACCACACACGCAAAAATTATGCAAGAAAATGCAACGTGGGATGGTGAAAAGACCATAGTTATAACCTGTTCTTTTACGCCTGGCTCGTGTTCGCTGACTGCTTACAAGTTAACGCCATCCGGTTTTGAGTGGGGCTCTAAGAATACAGATAAAGGTAATAATCCTAAAGGTTACTTACCATCACACTACGAGCGCGTCCAGATGCTGCTGTCGAATAAATTCCTCGGCTTCTTTATGGTGCCATCACAGGGCAGTTGGAATTACAACTTTATGGGTGTGCGGCACGATGCAAGTATGAAGTATGAGCTGCAATTGTCGAATCCTAAGGAATTCTATCACGAAATACATCGACCTTCACACTTTTTATTATTTTCCAATTTGGAAGATGCTGGCGACGGGTCGGGTGCCGATCGTGAGGATGTGTTTGCGTAGTTTGACAAACACTCAGCAGAGATATGTTTAATCTTTTTCGTATTTTTATGTAACTTGATTTTAGTTAACTTCATATGTATGTATATTGTAAAAGAAATTCAACCATCGTAAATTGAAATATGGCGATCGAGCTGTGTAGACTTCATTAAGATCATAATTATAGCAATTTGTTTGAAACAGAAAACGTAAATATTTTCAGACTTACAAATTTAAAACGGACTACAGACAACAAATAAATTAATAATTTACAAACCAAAATTGCTGTGTTAAATTCGATTTTTTGGGATGGGGTAAGGTTGTCGTTGTCTACTGAATAGCTGAACGCTTAGATCGAAAAACAATAGCCCAGCTTCGTTCTGGCTATTGCAGCAGGCTTAATTCATACCTGAACAGAATAAGCGAGGATGGTGGGCACATCTTAAATCATACCTGAGCAGAATAAACGAGGATGTGACCGGTGCAGAATAAACGAGGATGTGTGTGTGAGGATGAACCGACCCGAGCGGGGTGTAGTTGCCGCTACAACAACATTCTGCAAACTTTTATTAAGTTTAGGTACAGCGAGTTTTTGGCAACAAGTAATTTTCAAGCAGAAAACAAAACCGACTTCAATTCTCATATAAACATATTAAAGTCCTTGGTTGTATATAAGAAAAGATTTAATATTCCAGAAAATGTACACGTTTGGTTTGAATAAAAGTTTTCAAGTGAGAAAAAAATATGACAATATTCTAAAATTACAAATACAGAGATTGCTTAGATTGTTTAAATAAAACAAAACTCAACACCCCTTCTCAATCTCTCAACCCTAATTTGTTACTAAGCATCTTAAATCGAGTTGCATCTAAAGCCTTGGTAAATATATCTGCAAGTTGATCTTCTGTGTTGATTGGTGTCAATTTGATTATACCCTTTGCAATATTATCTCTTATGAAGTGATGTTTAATATCAATATGTTTTGCTCTTTTTGATTCCNATTTTAGATTATCGTTAATTTCTTCATGATCCAATGAACGGATTTAAAGCAAATTAATATGGGACCACCTGTGAGGTAACACCTTTCATTAAAAAAAAAAAAGAAATCGGTATAACCTTTCTCTTTTTTGTGAAACCGGTTACATATATATGTATGTATACATGGAAATCTCCATGCCAAATTGCTACTGCGATTAAATATTGGTCTCTAAAATTTGTATTTTTGATTTGGAAATATTTTCGCCCATATCAATATTATAAAGCAAGCAAAAACAATTCATTAGAAACAACCCTTGTTTACTGCTCTTGCAAATTTGAAGTTGCTAAAAATTCCGTTAATTTTTGATTTAAAAAATGTCGAATATACTTTGTATGGAAAAAATAAGTAAGGACGTCAACAAAAAAATTGCCAGAAAGCAACAGTAAGTCCCAGATTATTCAAATTTTCACTTTATTGCTCTAAAATTTATTAAGCTACAAAACTGCATACCAAAAATTTTTCTTAATATGCTTATTAAAAATTTAGAAATTTTGTAGTATTTTCATAATTTTTGCACAAAGTCTGAAATTCGAATTTATATGGTATTTGTGAAGTAAACAGTTGTGAAGTATAGCACTTTCCTAAAAAGATACTAAACATTAAAGAAAAACAGCCAAAACTTGCTCGCGTTGTGAAACGTTTGTTGTACTCAAACTAAACATTAGGTAATGTCGCTATTTTCTGCAGTGTACTGGATATGGGTCATAAGTGTAGTATAATCAATCATTATTGATGTAACAAGTCAGCTACTTTTTGATTTCCACCGCTTAATTTTTGTGTACAAAATCTTTTAGCCGTCCATCTTCAACTAAAATATAAAAATAAATATTTGGGAATTTCAGATTTTGCTAAGCTAAGCTGTTTGGCCGAGCTTTTGTTCCAAGTTGCGATGTGGCGTCTTGCTGCTAGCACACACTGTTTTATGCCACCCCAGTGCCAAATGGTTTTTTATGGGAAGGTTTTCCATGGCAGGAATATACCGCAGCCTTGCCATTTCCAGCCAAGAGGCGAGGGCTATTAGAAAAAAATCTGCGAGTGGTAGTACGCCCCTCTAATCGCTCAACTACTTATAGATATATACATATATACTTATATGTACATACACATACACATACAATATATATATATAAAGTTGGAAGATAAAATAAAAAATGAGTCTAGCACTCATTAAAAATATTTATTTATAATTTATTTGTTATTTATAATTTATAATATATCTTTTGTATAAAAAATATTTACATTAATAGTTAGTATTCTTTCTAAATTTTAGTTTAATAATATTTGCAAGGGTTTTTTTTCTTTATTTAATACAATTTAGGTACGCGGGCTTGTAAACCATTTGTTTCCGTAATCTACTACATATAATTAAAACACTTTCGCTACATGTTCCCTAAATAGTTGGTGACTGACTCTCGTTCTGCATCTGTTTGTTTTTTATATATCTATTTTTCACTACGGTTATTGTGCCGTTTGTTTTGCGTATTGCTATTTCTATGTTGCAAACGATGGAAAGCTACTAAAGTGTGTGTCGGTATATCTATTATGAGCATTTCCATAGCAAAATGGCCAAGTTACCACCGAAGAAAAGATACAAAATATTTTTCGTTTCGTATGATACCTCGAAGCCAAAGCCTTCGCCAACGACCACATGCCAGTAGATGCCAAATTTTTTATCCATTGTCTCTTTAATAACGCGTGCAGCTTGCTGTTGGAATAAGTAGAAGTAAAAAATTACGTAAAAAAGTGTCTTGAAGATGGAAATCATTAGTATCTATATACATATCGAGCATAAGAAAGAAAAAAAACAAAATCAGGCCGATTCTGAATAGAAACTCCCTGGTAGTTTTCTCCCTTTTCCCTTTCCCCCTACCCTGAATAAAAATTTCCAGAGGATTTTTTACATTAAATGGCTTAGACGAGCTGTCAAAAAAGTTCCCAACAGCTCTTTCGAAGTTCGAATTTCCTCCTCCCAAATTTTCTGGGAAAATACCACTCCTTGAGAGTTAATTATTGGAGGATTTTTCTCGGAAGAAACAAATTCCCGGAGAACAAACTCCCCGAGAGTATTCAGAATTGGGCCGAATATGTTGAAATCAGGACAGCGGCTATGATTTTCAGTGGAACATCATATAGTTTTTATTTTCAGGTAAAATTTTTTTGGTTATAAAGGTTTTCTTAAGAACAAACGTGTCGCCCTCGGCAACAAATTTATTGCCGGTAATATCGCTAACGTATCGACTTCTTATTACGGGTCACTCTAAAACGTCCGCCGAAGGCAACTCGCCTTGTCGAGTCGTTTTCGTATTACCCGAACGAGTCGTTTTTTCTCGCTTCATTATTGCCACAGGCGATATTTGAACAATAATTATTTCCCTCGCTATGGCGCTCCCTATGTTTTTCGATCCTAGCTTTGGCTTAAATTAGATGCTTTTGGAGAGTGCTGTTGACACGAAATTCATCAGTTTGGGAATTTTTGATAACATTTTCCTAAAATGACATGTATGTAAGAAATGATGTTGTCCATTTCTCACTACGGCAATAAATCGGCGAGTCGCCAATTTGTTGCCATTGACGATTGTTGCCTATTTTGCATCTCTGGCATCGTGGGATCCTATCTACTGATTCAGTGACGAAATATGGTTATATAAACACACTCTCTTAGGCATTAGTAATTTTTATTGACATTAAGATTTACATTAATTTACATACCTCGTAATTGCTGGAATATTTTTCGCAAGCAGTAATGCTCATTTCGATTGCTTCGGAGCGCATTTCTTCGTTCATATCAGAATGCTGAAAATATCTTATTTTATCGTATTTTGGTAATATGTATTATATTCTCTTATTTATTTTTATAAGAAATTCTGATTATTTTCCAATTGTGACGGCTGCTTTAACAAACACACATATGTATGTACATATTCGTACGTACCTTGACAAGCGGATATGTGTGTACGATTTTCTTTTCCGACTCTTTTTCCGGATTTGCACCCTCATCAGCCATGACGATCAAGTTTATACAAACAAACGACAAGCAAAAATTCGCAATTTCGACAGACCAAAGAGCAAGCTTAACACCCAGGTTTGTTTTGAGAAGCGCACAAACAAAATACTATTTCAAATCTGTCTGTCCGTTTCAAGTGAAAGTCACTTTGAAATTATTCGAAAAATATTCGCATTCGAAAATCTAACAGAGGCGTCCAAAATATTGTATTAACTCGAATACCTGGTATATAAGAACTTATTGAATAGCCGATTTTCTTTGATTGTTCTAAATTTTTTAAAAATTGCTTGCATTGCGTTTATTATTGCCGCCACTTAATCCGCTTCCAGTTCATAAAGCCGACTGACTGACTATTGTGATGCCTTTATTAAGAATTTATTGACTTTGTGGTGCTCTTTTTTTATACTACTATACTAGCCAAACTCCAATTATTTACACTTGCTAACTTCTCTTGCCGATATACTTTGTTGAGCTGCAGTGCGCATGCGTTAGTTCGCTCTTGTCCATTCTGCTAAATTTTACCATGAAGTAGGGTCGGCGGAACGTACTATCACACATTATAGTGCGCTTCAATTACACTACCACCCAATCTTCATTGCAGTGCTTCTTTCTTCCGGCTTGTCACAAGATTTAAGGGAGGAAATTGTAATGATGAGGCGAAATAGTGATTTGCGAATTTATAGAGAAACAAGAAAAATATTAGATTTTGGGGGAAGCATCCCGCATTTGCTTGACTCTGTTTACATAGGTTTATCTTTCTTTCGATTGTATTCTACGCCGAGAACGTTACATAAATTTGTATGTATGTATGTATGTATGTATATATGTAAAAGGAGTTTTAACGAGGATACAAAAGCACTCAACATTACAATGCCCCGATGATATGATGCTGCATTTTAAGATGGCCAATCTTTTTTTGGTTAATACATATGTACGTGTGCACATATCAGTACCTTCTTCTAACACTTGTTATTTCCAGAGTAAAAAATTAAAAACGTAATAAAGAATTAAGTTCTTTGTTTGAGATATTTTTTTTTCAAATCGTTGTTATTTATTGAAGACTAACTATTTTTTAAATTCTATGATTTTGAAAACAAAATATGTAATATAGAAACTCATTGATGTAATTCTGTTAAATTTTATGGATTTTAAAAGAAAATGTGTAAGTTAGGGACTTTGTATACGTTTTGACCATGGATTTGTACATTAGGGTTGGTCGAAAAAAATTTATTTTTCTTATATTCTTTTGCAATTGTGAAGGTTGTGTTTTTATAAGGTCAATTGAAAGCTTGAAAAATATTTTTCGTGAACAAACAAACAAGCGTTCATCATCTCCTGTGGCACACAGATAAAATTCATTCTTGGTACGAGTTCAGTTTTTTTGTTTTTATTAGACAGTAAAGCCGGGAACCCAAATCACATAGTCAATCATCTTTTGTGCCAGACCAGTAATTTAGGGTTACTCTTAAATTTATCTTTTTGCATCAAACATTTTAGTTATCTTAAAAATATAAGCAAATGAATGTGGTGACGTTAGCCAAGTGTATGTACGGTATCGATCATATCGATAGCACGTCCATTTCAAAGTGATATGTTTGCCACTTATGTTTAATTATTTATTTGTAAGAATTTTCAATTAATATACCGTTCATCATTCTCTAACGAAACCCATATGTATAAGCCAAGGTTTAAAACTTTGTAATAGACTTCAAAAAAGTGCAAAAAATTTTCACCCAAATTTCAAAATTTTTTCTCAAAAGTGTTAGATTTTTTTAGTAAACACTTTTTTAGCCCATTCAATTTTAGTCGATAATATGCCAGTTTCAAGAAGCTAAAAATTGCCGTTGATTTTCAAATCTTTTTTTTTGTGGCATTTGCTTCCAAATAACGAATAAACACACTTCATTTGTATGTGGCAGAAACCCGCAGCACTTTAAGTATTAGACTAACGGCACTATTCTGTATCAGTGACAAATTCTTGTCACAGTTTTTCTTTACTGAAAAATATATAAAAAAGTTTAAAATTGTAAGTAAAAAATTTTTTTGTCACCCATACAAAATTAGGCTATAAAACTATGTACTCACTGTGCACTTTTTTGTGGTTTTCTACAAAGTTTTAAACTTCGGTTTATATGGATTTTATTAGAAATTGAACTGTATTTTAATTGAAAATTCCTAAAAATAAGACAATAAACATGACCGGCAAACAATATCACTTTGAAATGAGGGTCCTATTGAAATGATCGATACTGTATATTCTGTTAAAACTGAGTAAAAACGATGACAGTCCAATTTCAGAGAATTTGAAATAATTTGACTGGATTTTTGTTTATCGTATGGTCTATCCTTCCATATAACGCTACTTTTAAAAACTGCGAAATCTGTTTCACATAAATAAATACATATCTCAATTTCACTTTAACAACACTGCTTTTAGTTTATTTGCTTTTTTATATTATGCGAAACATGTATTGACTTGTACATACATATGTATGTATCTAAATATGTATATAGGTATGTATGTAATGTGCAAAAATGGTTTCCGTTTTCGAAATGACAATATAAAGTATATTACGCACTTATAACCAAGGCGTATTAAACGCCTTAGATCACACCTTGTGATTGACAACTCAGTGCGAGTCTCTTTTAAAGTACTATTATGTCAAAAAATATAAACAAACGAATCGAGATTGATACAATTTTTCCCAATTTGACATTAGAGGATGGTTCTTATGAAAGCAATTCTTAAATTTATTCACACTTTGTTCAATACCTTTAGCTTATAACTAAGATGTATGTATTTAATACAGCGTGATTGAGCTTGACATTGCTTTCAGCCTATAATGTCGAATCGAAAAAAATATGAATTTCGAATCGTTTGTTTATATATTTTGACTTTAGAGACCCGCACTGAGTTGTAATTTATTTAATGCATCTTGCTTATAACCATTATCAAAACATTACAAGGAAAAACCATTGGCAGGCAGTCTGACGTTTGCAACAGTATAATTTTAAAATTCTCAAACTTCCACGCACATTCTCATTTTCAATTCAAACATTTGTGAACAATTTAGTTTTTTTATTTTAAATTTTATATGATTTTAAAATGCTTGCAAACGTCAGAAAAACATCATGACCGACGAATTGAGAGAATGATATTACCTTGTAATGATTTTATCATACTTATAACTATTATTTTTCCACTCTACCCTAACTAAACAAATCTGCTCATCATCCCTCCCTTTCATTTAATCCCAGTTTTCCTCAGAATCATAAGTGGCGTCATCTTTAGTATGTGAATATCCACCGCATGCTCCCAATTCATCATCATTTTCTGTCTCATCATCATTACAACCAACATCGTTCCACAAACCGTACTCGTCATCATAACAATCATCATAATGACGATAACTTAAATCATCTTCATCATACTCAGGCAATATGATGTAATCTCCTTTCACTTCAATATCGTTTTCTTTTAGAATAGCCAGTAATTCTTGCATTGAGGCGCCAAGAGTTTCAATAAAGTCTTTTAAAACTGTAAGGGGCACTTGATATACGCCTAGATCTCGATTAAAGTATCTATCTATACGACGGCAACGATCGATTTGATAGCGCGCCTCGTCCAAAATTTTTTGTTCCTTACTACGTTCATCGCGATTATATGGAAAATCAACTGCAAATATTTCTTTGTATTGTACATCAGCATCCGGATCACAATCCACTGGAACTTCGCTACTAAAGGGTTCAGTTAGGGAACGATCGAGCAAGTCATTGCGCGCAAAAATCGCAATTTGCGTGACGTATCCGATATCTTTTTTGTCAGGTGGCGCGTCGCCGACACCAATGAAAGCAACACTATAATTATGATACTTTTGGCAAATATTTAGTGCCCAATCCTTGAATTCGGTGCGTGTCCATTCGAATTTGTGGTCATCGTGTCGAAAACCATTTTCCAACAATGGTTCAAAAAGGACATTGAATTCAGAGTTTGGTGTAGAGAATATGGCAATTTTAGGTTGCATGAACCCAAATATATTTTTTGGTACGTTCTCCAATGTTTTGGGATATAAATGTTCAATTCTGTAGATTTATGAAGTTAAAGAATAATATTTTATATTAAAAAATCCTTACATTTCCAAAGCGATAACTGCGTCCACATTAAGCAATTGTTCCACCGACGCATCAATACTGCCTTTCAATAGTTCCACGCGTAAAGGACCTTCACGCTTTTTCAAATAATCGGATACAAGTGGTTCTGCTCTTAACTTATTACTTCTCAAAATATCTTCGTCAATATCAACCTGAAATTAATTAAAACAATAGGCAAACTGCTGAAAATATGATGCATTGGAAAAAGGGATTTTAAAACGTAAGATATTCATATTTTATGCCGTCGGCATAACGGTATTATGGAAAAAAAAAACCTAAAATTAACCCTGAGCACCTCAGCATACTTTTTAAAACAGTTCTCCTCACCATGGGTAATTATTAACCATTGCATCCAACATTTTTAATCAAATATTTTTTATGTCTATCACAGTATCCAACGGATGTCATCCGCGCGGTTCTTACCCGAATCGCACTGTCATAACAAGCGAGTCGAAAGGATTAGATTCGTGCGAATGACATCCGTAGGATACATGCCTATTTATTTTACGAATTTAATCCTTCACACTCACTTGTTATGACAGAGCGAATTGGATTAGTTCCGCCCGGATGGCATCCGTCGGATACCGTAATAGGCAATTGTTAACTCTTCTTTAATAATTTACTATCAAAGCGAAATAAAAAAAGTCTTACCGGGTATTTTTATACCCGAGCGCACTTGTGCACAAGGGTATTATAACTTTGTTCGCATAACGGTTGTTTGTAACAGCCAAAACGAATCGAGATAGATATAGACAAATGTATACATAAATGCTCAGAATGATACGAGAAATCGATTAAGCCATGTCTGTCCGTCTGTCTATCCGTGCACACGATAACTCGAGAAAAAATTGAGATATGTCAATGAAATTTGGTAGGTAGGTTGCCCTTTATCCAAGGTAGGTTGGGATTAAAAATGGGCAAAATCGGACAATAACCATGCCCATCTCCCATGTAACGGTACTTTCGAAATATGGAAAAATTACGATATTTCCGTAAATACTGTATCAAAATTATTGAAAGTTGGTACGCGAAATAGAATTGTGGCATAAAATAAGACAGTTATGACGTTTTTCGAAAATGGGCGTGGCACCGCCCACTTACGATGAAATGCTGTATCTCTGTAGTCAAAATATTAATGATGTACTGAACTGTGTAGGTAAGTGCTTGTGTGCACAGAAAAGAGTTTAAAACTGATTTATAAATAGTACAATGTTTGCAGCAGAATGTCAAAACGGTGCAACAACTATTCACTTACAAGTTTTTACTAGTTTTGTGTTCAATAACTTGTTCTGCTAGTTTTCTCTTCTCAATTTTACGCTCTATTTTGCTTTTACGCTCTCGCTGCAATTTTTACTGGAGAAGTTACTATACCAACCTATTATTTTTCTGCACAGCACCCTGAATACGAATTAGGGATGCAACATCGCTCTTAAAAACATCGATGTTCCCACAACAAACATCGATGTTAAAAAACATCGGTTATAAAAACGATACATCGATGTTTTACCGATGTTTTAATTTCTCATTTACTACACGAAATAAAATGTAGCCTGAAATACTTTTTAAGCTCGAAAGAACTAGATTCACATATTCGCTACAAACCATAACTTTATACAAAACTTTGAAAAATTCAACACATTTTTATCTTAATTTTGAACTTTTTTATCTGAATTTTTAGAAAAAGCCGGTAATTCGGTGCTCGGTAAGGCCCTGTTTCCCCAGGAAAACACGAATGTTGTGATAACCATGTCACAAAATATATTTCCAATGGATATCTACCGCCTATTTCTTATGGGCTGCAATATATGTCAGCGTTTATTGCTTGACATCTATTGCAGGAAATTTGATAGTTTGACAGCCATATTTTCACTTGAAAGAAAGCGTGCTGGTGGTAGCATCGATGAAATATTCATTTTAAATCAAAATAAGAATCTGTTCTCTATTGAATTATTTATGAAAATGTTTCAAGAAGTTATTCAGCAAGTGGTTTTTTAAGATTGAAATGTTTTTAAACACCGAAATCGAGAGAATGTTGTCTGGCGGCGACATGCGACAAATGCTTATACGGATGAAGACATCAAAGTGCCCACACACAAAAACTCTCAATCATACTGCTGGTCAAAATGACAGTTGGTAGGCCATCGGTGTTTGCCTGTGGAGTTTTGCGGTAAATTTTCCCCCATGTATGTTTTTTTGTGTAAAATTATTTTAGTATTGGTTTACCGGTTACCGAATTAACGTGGTGGAAGCTTGATAATTTTTCTGGTAGTTGGTAAACTGCAATCAGCTGTACGATATTCATCCAATTTTGAATCCGCCCGCTGCCGAAAGGCACAACGCATTTGAGTAAATAAAATGCCTTCAATTTTTTGTTACAATATAATTTTTTTAATAGGAAAAAGCTTCGAATCAGCTGCTGGTACACATACATAGTTTACCAGACTAACGGTGTGGTTAAACGTGGCAATGCTAGCTCTTTTTCTACGCATTTTGCTGTCAAAATGCGAAATCGAAAGTCTACTTACCTATGTAAAGAGTCAGAAAGTCCTTTTTGCAGATTTGCAGAAATCACTTTCGGCAATAAAAATTGCAAGGTGTAACTGCAAGTGAAATTACGTAAATCGCTTTCGGGAAATAATTTCAACTTTTCCGTGCAACAAATATTAAATTGTTTTGGAAAATGGTTTTTCATAAAAATTATTGGTTTTATTCCATATTGGTGCTTTGATACTTAAATGAAAATAAGGTGATACATATTGATACATTTTAAGTCTTTTTTCTGCTACAATTTTTCACAAGCCCGCGGTCACACTGATGCCCACCAGCACAAGCATTGAAAAAATAGCTAGATTCGTTAAAACTATTGATTTAGAACTATTGATTTAGCTAATTAACCACTAGGGTCTCCGCACACTGGACTGCTCAGTTCGCTGAGTCCCTCGCTCATTTCAGTCCGCGAAAATCGCGGATTGACGGTGGACTGACACGCACACATAGACAACATGTTTTCTATTCCGTTTGGTTTGCATGTGCCACATGCACTAACACAATCATGCGTAGTTCATGTATACAAAACTGAAACCTGGTTTCGGCCGACTGCCCAGTCCAGTGTGCGTTCGAGTGGTGGACTGCTCAGTCCGACTGAGCAGGCTAGTGTGCTCAGGCCCTTACACATTTTTTCTCCACCGTTGAAATGCACAATAAACAATACACAAAAGCAAAGAACAACAAGCAGAGATGCAAAGTGAATCACGAATGTGTCGTGTAAACAGGTTGATTCGCCGTTCGTAATTGACAGAGCGAACCACGTGATTCCGTTGGCGTGGAAACGCCCTTTATACGGCATTTCCACGTTTCGTAATTCGTTCTCTTATTCGTAATTCGCTCTCCCATTCGTCATTCGCCTTGCCAATTACCTTCCGAATTACGTAATTCGCCATACAAAATTTTGAGAGCGAATTACCTCATTTGTAGGTAATTCAGATCGAATTACCATGCGAATGACGAACGAATCGGTGCCTTCTCTAATATTTATCGGAAATATATCGAAGTTTTCACCGGCCTGGTCCCAATTGCTGCCACTTTTTCTGGTTATAGAATAATATTAATAAAATATTCTCTATATACATTAAAATTGTTGATAACTTAATTTTTAGCTCCGTCTTCGAAATTTGTTGTACACAAAAATAATAATAAATAGCGCAGAACAAGAACAAGAACTAGAGCTGCCAAACGAATTACTAATGAGCGAATTACGAAATGTGGAAACATCGTATTAATACGAACGGAGTGAATGAACGATGTCGATGTTTTTCACTTTTCTAGTCGATGTATCGTCCAGCAAAACATCGATG